AATCAATTGTGGAGTTGGATATGTCTTCATATCAGTAAGTGCGTGGACACAAGGCGCGCTTGAGCGATTTGACGTATCTATTAATGTGAAAAATTAAAGTTTTATTGTTTGTTTTGATTTGCAATCTATTACGTAATAACAGTTTACTTTCGGTAAGTTTTTGTTGAAAAATTATATCTAAATTGGAATTTACGAAAACATTCATCAGAATTTCGTAGTCAGTTTCGTGTATTGATATGTAAAAAAAGAGTCGAATGTGCCGTGCCTGAGCGCGCGAATTTCAGCCGCTAATATTGGTTAACTTCAATCGTTTATAATTTGAAAAGTATTATAGCCTCGACATTTTTGTATTAGGATTTTCGTCTCAAAATTATCTCAGGAACACATTCTTAAAAGGAAATCCGGTAGAGGTGGGACACCCTGTATATTGTGACGTTGCAGCCCGCTGCGGAGCAACGTCCCGCCGCCGTCACAACGCGCGGGTTCGCGCCCTTTTTGCCGGGCCGACAGCCGCGCTATCGCGAGCGAGACCAAGATTTCCGGGAGGCCCGAAATTAAATCGCGTATTTGATATTGATTAGTTTGAACCTCTTGCATGTAATACGGTGCCTCACCGGACGCAAGGATTCATCGACGGCGAGGATTCAAGGTCATCGGCAGAGGAGAGGACTTGGAGTACAGGCGATCCGGCGCAGGAGCCAAGGGGGCACGCACCGGGCACGCAGCGATCAGGCGACGGAGCGTGCACGAGCAGAGAGCGTGACCGCGCGTAAGAATTTCCAAGAGCGCCAGGGGCGCGGCAAGGAAGGCGGACGAAGGATCTGAAGCCCGCGAAGGGCAATACGGCCAGCGATTTCCCCAGGGTCTGGGGTCATCGCCGAAAGCTGCCGAGACAACGTGGCCGAGTTGTCCCGGATTAAAGGATGGAGGACGCGCCCACCAGATGCCACGCCGCCACATCCAGGAAATAGGGCAGCCTCGCGAAGCGCCCTTAGGAAAATTCGCCATCTACGCCCGTGCCACGGCAAGACTCCCGCGGCGCGTCGTGATTGGTCGTGACAGTGTGCGCCGCTATGTTGCGCACCCCCGGGCTGGGGGTGCAGGCATCGATCGCGTATCGAACGCGATCTACGCCGCTTTTGCGTGCGAGCGGCGAGAACAAGTGGTCGAATGAGTAGACAAGCGATCTAGCGAGTGATTGAGAGAAACAGAAAGAGGACAGAAGGCTGCCGACCCGGAGAGTTTGTCGAGGACGTCGAAAAAGAGATCGTGCCGTTTGAGGTGACTCTCTATTTCCAAGTGCTAAGTAAAACCACGGGCAGATCGAGGATCCCATTCGTATTCTGCGGACGGAAACGCCATTTTGGTGTTAGAATCTTGTCGCGTACGCCATTTCGGCAACGCGTATTTCGTAGCATTTTGGGTGTGGCGTCCGTCCCCAAGTGCGAGGGTTCCTACAGGACTCTTTTACAATGGTTTAAAACCATTGGACACGATTGGAATACTTATATAAACAAATGTGTGCTAAGAAATAGCTCCACCATCTTCCACAAAATATTGATTTTTTTCTCTAAAAGCCATAATAATCGGAAAATTATAAACTCTTGTAACAAAGCCTCCGTAAGTCGAATTTTCATACGTTAACCCTTTTTTATTCGAATTTTGATAAGTCCAAAACTCTATAACTCGAACAGTTTTTCTGATTCCTTGAGATTCGAGTTATCAAAGTTTGACTGTATAATTTACATTCACATATATTTAAACAGGCACGCTTTTTTAAAAGACGATCAAGATATTGATATCATCCCCAGTCCAGCGGGACTTTATCAAAGCTAATACTTCGAAAAGAAAGAATATTATAGGTACGGTCTTTGCTTAATTGTCTGTCTGAATAAATCTCCGTCTCTTTCGTTTCCTAGGTGCACCATTTAATCCTTGGCGAGACGTATCGACACGATGTCCACTGGTCCGCCCAGGAAATTAGCGAAAGTGTCAAACGTTAATAATAATAATAATAATAATAACAATTTGTCACCTTCCGCACGCAACAAACAGTTATCTTCAGACGATTTAAACAATCGTAATGAGCAAGTTTTAACAAAAGGAGAACACTTCAACAAGAAATCGAAGGAAAATTTCAATTGCGATAGAACGCTCACAAGCTTATCGATGCAGCAAAACACAGTACTAATTGATCTGCACAAACAGTTAGGTGAACTGGAGGGGAGATACAACACACATATGCAAGAACTAGAAATTCTCACGAAAATGAAGAAAAAACTGAAACTACGAGAGAGCAAGTGTAAAAAATTGACTGATGAAATACAAAAAGAACGACTACAAAAAATTGAACAAATCGAACAGGAGAGAAAAACACTATACCAGTGGCAATTAACGCAAATCAATATTGAAATGATAAAATTTTGCACAAATTTGAACATTAATACATCAGACAAACAATACAATACAAATTACGAAAGTGTTGCGTCTCATCTTTTGACATCACATCCATCGACGGCGAATGCGGTACAGAACAATAAC